CCTCAGGCCCCTTAGGCATGGCCCCTTCTTCCAAGTCGATGACGGGTGCGGCTACCACCTCGGGCCCCGAGAAAGAAGTCTGCGGAGGTTGGGGCTCGGCTGAAGCTTGCAGGGACCCAACGCGCGCCTTCTTGGCTACGCGTTTCTTCTTCTTCATTTGGTGGAAGAGCTTCTGGTTGTCTATTTTCTCCGTCTCCATGGGACCTGCAGTGAAACACGACATCAACAACCCAAAAAAAATATATGAACGAAAAGTCGAAGTGGGGAAAACCTACCCGGGCTCAAGCTCGCTTGGACGAGCTTCTCCTCAGAAGTAAAGTCTTTATAATCCAACCCGAGTTGAGCCAGTGACTGGAGCTCCTTCTTGGTCTTCCCATCTAGGATGACACAAGGGTCTTAAACAGCTATCCTCCAATCGGTGGGGAAGGGCCACCCCGTACTGCTCCGGACTACGAAGTAGTCCCGCTTCCAAGCTGGGACTTTTCTCGGGAGCTTGTGCATGAGTTTGAAACCCGGGCGGGGGGATAGGTAATAGGACCGCCTATACCCGGGGAGAGCGCCCGAAGCGCTCTTCTTTATAGCCAAAATTGTACTGAGAACATCTAAATCTATAGAAAGGGAGCGATCGAAGCAAAGAGAGATGGACCCCACCACATTTCGTATGGAGATTGGGTGGAGTTGGTCTAGGGTGATGTTGAAGTGCACCAACACCTCAACGATCAGAGGGTGAAGAGGAATTCGGAGCCCGGCTACCAGTTGTTCCTTGAAAATCACGATCTCGTTGGGACCGTGCTCCCATGGGAAGTTGTCGGTGGGAAGACTATATGAGTATTCCTCAGGGAGGCGGAACCTCTGTATGAGGTCCTGAAGCCTCTCCGAAGTTATTATGGAAGGCCCGAACTGATCTGGTTCCCGACCTCGGTGGGAGGTGGACGCCAAATGACCTGAAGCCACCCGTACTTCGGATGGCTGGGCAGCAGAGGAGACACCCCGAGCCGAGGTACCTACCTCGGGCTCGTCAATGAGATTGTCTACACTAGACGACATACCGAACTAAAAGGAAGAAACAAATTGAAAAGGGGAAGCTCGGGATTTGGCCCGACCTCGTAGCATAGGTACACGTGGGCGTGACCTTGCTCAAACAGTGACTCAGCATGACAGTGCAACGAGCGTGAGCACAACTCGGGGGGAAAGTCCCACCGAGTTCAGCACGGCAACTCGACAGGTAAACTACTCGCCGGAAGCTGCCTTACCCGCACCTCCTCCCCGGGGTTAAGGCACTTCGGGGGGTCCCGAGTTCGGGATGCCCTAACCCCTTTTAAGACCCGAGCTCCTCCCAATGGACATCGGGCCACTCCCAGGCAAGAACGCACCGATCCTTTTCCAGACACCCCGAGGCACAAACACTTCGGGTCAGCTAGCTCAGCATAACTGGCTACAGGCGACCCGTCACTCAAAGGACAGCCCGGCTCAGGGTAATTCGCGGGAGAGCAGTTCGGTATACCACAGGAGGGCTTCCTGCTCGACCGCCGTACCCGACAAATCTGTGGACAGCAGGCATGTCCCCCTCGTCGCGCCTGCCACCTTTAGAAAGGTGTCCTACACCTGACAGACACGTACCCTGCAACAATGGCCCCGCGCGTGCCACCTCAGCCCTGCCTGTAACGGCTGTGGCAGACTGACAGTGGCGGTTATACCTTCCCTATCAGAAGTCAGAGGGCCTGAAGCAATGGAATTCAGTTATAAGGAGCTTATTCTCAAGGAACAAGGTATCTTCGAGTCACCTGCGCAACCTGCACTCTTAGCCTTCGTTTTCCTTCTGCTTCTTGCACACAATACTAACTTAAGCATCGGAGTGTTCCCGCCGGAAAACCCCCGGGAGTTCTTCCTCTTTCCTCTCGTCTCAAGTACCTCTCAGGAGCCACGTGAGCGCCAGGTAGGAATGATCGGATTGCGCTACATCAATGGGCATTTGTTGAAATGACTATGTGAATCGGACGTGACACCATTTTTTTGAAAAACGGATACAGTTCCAAGCATCCCCTTTATATGCAACACATGGTCAAATCGATTGACGGTTCAAGTACCTGGGCCGAAAATAGAGTCCACGTGATAATTTAAACAGTTCAACTAGTTGAATCACCAATGATTTAGACCTATTTAAAAGACCTAAATGTCACTATTTGGCACTTATGTGACCCTGAAAACCAAAGCGTATCGTACAATACAGATACAATAGGGTCAATACTCGATACATTGAAGTTTGAACCTTAACGGGAGTTGACACCAACACCACATAAAAGGATGGAAGATGGATAGAGATAGTGAACGGGGGTTATAGTTGGCGAGAGAGAGAGAGGTCTCTTTTTTCCTTCATCCGGCCAATATATAGTATGGGTATTTTTTTAATGGTCTGACACTTAAAAACACCATGCAGATTGCAGCCTGCCCAAAAAGAACAGACCATGCAGACAGGCTGGGTCACCTGTAAAGAGTTTGACAGACCAATTGTAGGTTTGACACACCGCCCAGAACTTATAGCTCTGTTAATGCAATTTCAATAGACTGAAATTTTAGTGGATGGATGAGATTTTTCAGAAAATTGTTGGCACTTGGTAGAAATATTTGGGGCCTAATCTTTCAGGTCAAATGTCTAAGACTCAAAGGTCAATTTAATCATACCAGTAAGTTGAGCTCAATTTTTATCAACAAGTTGGCATATCAATGCATTCCAGTAGATTTCACCATTTTACCTTGTATTGGCATATCAACACATCGTTTTCCAATACAAAACTGTTCTCATTAGATTCAATTTAACCAACTCAATTTCCAATTTTTCCACCCCAACCCAAGCAAGGTCTCATCTCAGTGGAATGCATTGAGATCCCCTCATAATATATCTAATAAAGCTGAGCATAACCTCATCATACATATATATTTTTTTTCCAGGCTTACAAAATGAGGATAGCACAAGTAACAGATGTTAAGATCATGATAACAACTAATCATATGGCCAGAACTCAGAAGAATCTGACCACTTTCTAGCTTGTCACACTAAAACCTGCTACTTGCTAAATATTATTACCATTATTATTCCATGGCATATCTATATACTGGGAGAGAGGAACACTTATGAGAATAAGTCATGCATTAAACAACACTGGGTGAGCCGAGCAAAAATGGAGGTAGATGATGCTCCAAAACAGCCAGGAGCTCTCTCCCCTGGCTTGCCTCATCTACGGGCCTGCCGCTAAGCCTTCTTGCGGCTTCCACAAGTTGGCCCCTTAACCGCTGTGAAAACAAGCATCCACCCATTGCAAAACACTCCCTGTACAGAGGCAAGTATGTGATGGCTACCTTCAATGGGCCTGGGAGATCCCTCAGACACAGGGGAGACCCACCCCACTTCAAAATTCTCGTCACATTCACATAGTGATCCTGCTCATGTCTCAACCCATCTAAGAATGCTGCCTCGGACCAATGCTCCTGCAGGAAGGCCTTCAGATCTGGAGCTACAGCTTCATCTTCAGATCTTGCAATGCTGTCTGCAACAGCATATGTTGCAGCTGGGTCACCCAGAAAGTTAGAATGCAATAAGAACGCAACACCATCAAGTGATCCACCGCTTCGCTCGCCAGCAGCTTTGAGAATCTCTATGCTGAGAGCAGCAAGGACATGCTGGGGCACATAAGGGAGAAGGTAGGCAGCAATTTCTACTTGACTACTGGAGGTGGCTGCAGTGAGTGCAAGGCAAAGCTCCATGTCCCGGCAGCCCCTTTGGACAAACCATTGAACAACCTGCATGCATCCCCTCTCTGCAGCCCTCATTAAGGGACCCAAGAAAGCAATAGCGTTACCCTCTTCCACAAGGCATTCCATGGTTCCTATCTTACAGTAGTGAGAAGCAAAGCCCAGAGCCAGGTCAACATCCACATCTAAGCTGTTCCTTTGAGCTATCTAAACAGATTAACCCATGGTCGCCAATTGCACAGGAAAAAAAAAATGTGAGAGATAAGAGAGAGACAAGTCAAAGCAGATTGATTTGAAAGTTGTACCATATTTGAAAATTTGTGTTCAACTGCATAACATGTAAGAAAAACAAGACCTTTCCAGTTCTACAACTTTATCTTTTTTTCCGTATCATACATACAATAATATATGCTTCAACTTCACTATTGATTGCAGAGATTGACCTGGACTCTCCAAGATTACAGAATAAGACTATTGTTTGGCAATGCATGCCATGAATACAGTTCGTGATATGTTCAGTCTCATAAAAAGTTGGGTGGCCAACGGCTTTTACAGAAGTGAATGACACAGAAAACGAGTCCAGATTACCTGCCAACAAAATATGTTCCAACACCCTCTTAAGATGATCTGACGCCACACATCTCATACATAGTGGGTCCTAGTTTTATGGTGGGTCCCAGTTAAATGGTGAAATGTGTTGCATCAAATCATGTTGGAAGGGTGTTGAAATGTGTTATGTTGGCAGGAGATCCCAACTCCAGTAAAACAAGTCAACATCATAAAACATTTTTTCCCTTTTTTTTGTGTGTGTGTGTGGGGTGGGGGGCTTAAGGTAGTCAATAAAATGGAGAAACAATGACGAATAATGACCTTAGAGAACCACTATCAAGCAGCATGGATATCATGGAAAATTCACTTAAATATCCTTTTATTCTATCTATTTTTCTATGTTTATCCCATTTGTTCTGCCTGTCAACCAAAGTTATAACTAAGCAAGGAAAGGCAAGTCACATGGAAATAGAAAATTCTTGGATGTCCCAACAAGATATCCAAAGTAAATGAATCAAACTAACTGCCATGAGATGATTAAAACATTCAGTTTAGCAGATTAAAAAGCATCTATGAGACTCAAATCGATTTAACATCAACCAAATAAAGCAGGCAGTTATCAACCTAATACTTTTCTTAAAGGAACTCGCTGTTGTGATACTAATTGCTGAGGAAGACCACTGGCCCTACAAATTATTGGTTCACCCATTACACTTAAATCATGCCCTCTATTTTACTATCCCTTGGAGTTTTGGAAATAGTAACTATAAATATCTAATTATTTCTCAGTTTCCCTTATTTAGAGAAAGCTCCTACTAAAGATATCCATTTTCCTACAGTTTTAGAGGCTTGTAATGAAATGAAAGCTCTTCATTTATCTAAGTCTGCTAAAATGTAAGAGGATGCAATATTCATGACTAAATGAACAAGTGTATGTTAAGCTCCATTAGATGATTTACTTGGGTAATTAGTAGCTGCCTATGTTTTAAACACAAAGGCACCATGCTAGATATTCCAATATATTAAGGTGTGAGGCATAAAGCTATGTTCTCAAATATATAAATCCAATCAAGTGAAAAATAACAACTAATGTACAAATTGTCAATAAAACAATAATGTCAACAGAAACCCAAAAAGAAATACACAAACACTTGGGAGCCATTTCATAATGGCTGAATTTACTCTACTGATTTTTTTTTTCAAAGGCAGAAAGAAAATTTTATTAAAAATAAAAGACCAAGTCAAATACAAGTGCCTTCCAGGTGTTAAGATAACACCCGACCAACATACAGAAAAAAAAAAAAAAAGAACAAGAGCACAAAAATTAAGAGGGAACAAAGTAAAGCTCCCAAACACAGCATCTTAACCATCTTCTTCAAACAGATCATCTTGCTCATCTCAATCCTTCATTCCTTCTCCTCTACCACCAATTTCTCGCCCTTTCTCTTCCTTAACCCCCCAACCTTACAAACATTCCAACTCAACAGATTCCTCCTCATCCCTCCTCTCAACTTGGCTACATTACAAAACACTGCAGTCACCCTTCTGCTTAGACTTAGTCCTCCTTCCCCCCCCCCCCCAAATCACAAACTGGCAACAATTCAAAACATTGCAAATAGAACTCTTCTGCAAATAGAACTCTTCTGCAGTTCGACTTGGCTGCAATTCCAAACATTGCAATCACTCTTCTGCTGCGGTTTGGTCCTCCTCCCCGCTCCCTCTTCATTCCAGCTTTTTTCCTTTTTTGCTTTCTTCTCTTTTTGTGCCTCTCCCTTCTTTTTTATTTTTTTCAAATTGTTCAAAAGCAATTCTGGTGAAACCTTCTCGCCCCAGAAAAAATAGCCCTAGAGATTTCCCTACTGTAACCTCTCAGTCAACTATCTTACTCATCTCCAACTTCCTTTTTTCAATTACCTCATCCCTTCCTTTCTCAGGCCCCCCCTCTGCTTCCTTTTCTCCAACTACCTCTCCTGAACCTACTGTTTCAAACCCCATCTCTGCTAACAGCTCCTTATTCTTTACTCCTGTCTCCTGGCCTAACCCTGAGATCCTCCTATTACAAACCTTATTTTGCAAACTACTGTCCTCTGTCTCCCCCTGTTGCTTCCTCTCACTTCCTCGTTTATCACCAGCCTGATCTTTCTTCCTTCCAACTGAATGACTTGTTGCTTTGCCTTGTAGTGGATAAACTGATCAACAATAAAATATTCAGCGACAGTATTCAGCCCAGTCTTCCATTCAGCCATTAAGGATCTCACAACCTACTTAACAACTTTTTTTAAATAAAGTATTATGTATTAATATTAAAGTTCCTGTGCAATGAGATGTTGTACAGAAAAAAAAAAAACAAACAAACCCCAGAAAAAGTCGCAACCTAGTTAACAACTTGTTCACTAAAAGGAAAAATAAGTCATTTAGTTCAGCCATTTAGTCGAAATGACAAAGGGGCAGAACAGAACTCCTGAATAGGAAGAAGAAGAGGAAAAAAAAAGGTGCCGAGCTCTTCTATCTTGCATGTGTACAATGGTACACAGAAAACCTATTTCTGCACAAGAGACCATGAGAAGACAACAGTTGCAGAAAATACCAACAGCCCCAAACATAAAAGGAAGGTGCACCTCCAGGTAAATGTCTCCAATGCTTTTTAAAACACTGATACATGCTAGAGCATTAGCACCATTGCTTCAACTCAAATAATCAACCCTAAGGTATCAAAAGAAAATACAAGAAGCAGCACAAGCCCTAGAGCTCTCATTTACACTGTATCATCATCATCATCCAAGCATCCCAACTATATGGGGTTGGCTACATGAATCCCGTTTTGCCATTCTGTACTGTTTAACGCCATATACATTGTCAAATTATGGGCATTTAAAATCATTTCTTATTACTTCAACCCATGTCTTTTTTTATCTACCCTAGCACTTCTAGCTCCTTCAACTTGCAAGATATCACTTCTTACAGGTGCCACTGATGGTCCTCTATGCATGTGAACAAACCATATTAGTCTACTTTCTCTCGTTTTATCACCTATTGGAGCTACGCCTAGGTGCCTTCCAATGACTACATTTCTGATCCTATCCTTTCTAGTTTTCCCATTCATCAACCTCAGCATACACATTCTTGCCACATTCATTTTTTGGATATGCTTCTTAACTGCCCAACACTTGGTCCATGCAGCATAGCTTCCCAACACTCTCATTTGCATTGCATGCTCTAAAAAATACTAGAGATTTTCATATCCTTCTCACATATTGTCTTCTGCCCCATAATGTTATGTAGCATATTGATCTCTGTCCTCTTTTATTTGTGCCTTCTTCCATAATTTGTAATTTGGCTTCCATTTATCCTTCTGAGAAAAAAAAAAAAAAAACAGATACTTCAACTTGATCAGATTTTTGCTTCTCTTATTTTCCTTCTTTTTTTTCTGTGCGATGGGGCAGTGTTTACTAAATTGAACTTGCATTTTGTCTTCAAAGGGCTTTGCCCATCAACATTGGGCACATTCCTCCAAGGCCACTCTAATAGAAATTGCAAACTAAAATAGGAAAATGTTTAATAACAGAAGAAATGGAGATTTATTCAACAAATAATCTTTGAGGAAAGAGAATAGGCCATTCAGAACCCATGAAACTGTTAAGCAGAGGACATAGCACAGGAGAGATGAGAGGGTAATGCCAGCTTGCCTACCAGTCTAAAAGACAAAGGAAAATGAAAGGTAAGAAAGGAGGACAAAGTGGTCATCATCTGGCTTACCAATGATGTTGTGGTTCTGTGGCAACATAAGAATGCCATGAGAGAGCTGAGACAGGTGGCAAGGAATCTGATTATCAGCTATAATTGGACTCACAAATCTGCCAATGCATTGACTAAATAGAGGGTGGATAGAGCCATAGAGGGAACTTGTTTTGGGGAGTGATGGAAAATAATGAGGTAACTTAATGATTTAATCTCAATGACCAAAAACCAACTGGGGTGTGCGACCTGGGTTGGTCTAATGTAGGGGATGCTTGGCATCTCTGTATATATTTTCTTTCTTTAATTAAGCAATAAAATCATGTTACCGATCAAAAAAAGGACAGTAAGAAAAAAGAAAATAAAACTAACTCAATTCAATATCAAACTTTATATGGTTGGCAAGAAAGAACCATTATACATGCTCTATAAGCAAAAAACAGAGAAAAGATTAGTCCCCATTAGCTTCTAAACTGATCAAACTTCAGCCCATTCAATATTCAAATGTTCCGACACAATGAGAAGGATAACAGATTCCATAAAATAAATAAATAATTCCACTAGGGCTGGAATCTCTAAGTGGCTAAGATCAAATCAATATAGGCATTCTTTCAATATCTCACAAAAAACTTGTCCTCCAGAAAGCATTCCCCTAAATAAGTTAACCAGAAGATTTTGTAAGAACTTAGAATATGACCACTAGACTACCCTACTCTAGTTAAACTCAACCGTTTAAAGATTCTGTTGGTCAGGTGTTCACAGTTTTAAAGGACATATGATGCTTATGCCTTGAGGCAAGGGTCAAGGAAAAATGCCTCAAAAGTCAAAACCTTGAGGCTCATACATGAAAGTAGAATGCACATTGTTTACAATCTGAAATACCTTTCTTAGTGTGTGCATACAGGCTTGTATCTATGCTTCATTATATTTAAAACAATTTGAAGAATTATTCTACATTTAAAGCATTTCAAAGGTTAATGTCCCTTATTTATATGATCATGTATGCAATTATATGCTCTTCCTGTAAAATATATATACTCCTCTAGTGCATTCCTATGTTTACTCCTCTAATATATTCCTATGTTTTTACTTATGTCACCTTCATGTTTGTCAAAGTCTTTGCCTGCATCTGAAGGTCCTAGAATCTAACCTCACACCTTTGTATTTTTAAACATTGTGTGAGACATTACACTTTGTTGAGCCATATACTAATAAGTGATACTTTGTCTTAGAAGTTAGAAGTATTCATACAAAGGTTATTTTTGTAACAGTTATTCAAAAAATAAGGTATATGGTTTTACTATGTTTTATTTTCTTTGGAGGCCCTTCAAAACAGGATATTTTGAAGTGGCCATACCTAACAACAATGGAAAATGTTCCACATGCTCCAGGGACCAAGCCAGGGGGAATGAGGGGATTAGGGTCAACCATTAAACGGTTCCACCAAGGAAGTCAGCATCAGCCAAATTTTAACCACTCCAACAAAAAGAGGTTAAATATCTATTCACTGGGAGTTATTAAAATCACCAACTTCAAAAAGAGAAATCATGGTAGATCAACTCCATCATCAACATTATAATGCTGATTAAAGACACAGATAGATGAGGTCAATTTTTTGCACACTCCCCAAAGTAACTCATAGCAAATTAGCTGACAAATAAGGTTATTGTTAGGATAATAGGATATTTTTGATCTCCAATTGTCAATCAGTTTCCTTTTTAGACCGTAAAACTTAACTTTAGCCAGTTGTGTTGGATTAATTGTTTTGTGGTTTGGCTAATATATCACATAGATTCACCAAAAAAATGGTTCATGTAATAAATCAGATGATTCAATCATATGTTCTGGCAGACATCTCCTAGATAAGACAAGCTCAATGACAAAGCCAAGTCATCCAACTGCAATGTGCTACCACAATCTTCAAATTCTGTCATTTTTAACCAACTACTCTATACGGCATAGACCTCATCAAATAAAAGTAAAAAGGTACTGAGCAAATTGTTATGTACCCCCAAGTAGGGGTGGCAACGAGCCGAGCTTTTCACGAGCTGCTCAAGCTCGGCTCGTGAAAAGCTGGGCTCAGCTCGGTTTCAGCCAAGCTCGATTAATAGATGAGCCGAGCTTGAGCCTACTAGAGCTTGGCTCGTGAGGCTCACGAGTCGGCTCAAATATATATAATATAATATATATATATATAATATATATAATAAAATTATAGAAAATAATATATATACAATAAAAATATTATAATTCTTAATTTTTAAATATAAAATAAAATTTTTATATATAATTTTTATAATGAAATATATAATAAATATTTTTATAAAATATAAAATGAGCCGAGCCGAGCTCGAGCTTATGAACTTTTGACTCGAGCCGAGCTCGAGCTCAAGGTTCTGGCTCGAACTGAGCTCAAGCTCGAGCTCGAGCCTGGTACTATTCGGCTTGGCTCAGCTCAAATCCACCCCTACCCCCAAGATACTAAAAGGTAGATAATTAAAGAACTAGATACTGTCCCATAATTCAAACAGTTAGATTACCTGCAATAGGATGCGAACAAGCTCTGTGCTCCCAAAACGTGATGCTTCAAGAAAACACTGGTTGACATTGTCTGCACCACCTTCTACCAACATTCCCAGCAACCCCTGAATTGCAGTAGCAGAAATACCAGATGCCCAACCAGGGTCAAATGAACTAGAGAAGAGAGTGAGGGGAAAGCATGCCGCATCAAAAGCCTCTGTAAAATCCTTTCCTGTAAGCTGGTTACCAGCAAGATCTAGAAATGTTTTGAATGCTGACAACTGGAGTTGGATCTCAACAGCTGAACTTTGATTTACTTTATCCCTGTTTCCCTGACAACGGGAGTAGAAGCCTATACATTTTAGAGCCCATTCTGTAAATTTTTGGACCTTAGCTCCAGCTTCTGCCTTCAAAACCTCATCTCCATGGCATTCCTGGAGGCGTTCCTGCAACCTGATAAAGAAGAAAAGGGAAAACATGTTGGTTCATCTACCCTGTGAATTTTGAAAATACACATACCAATTGGAGCAAAGAAACTGATTGCAGACTTATATTGGTAGTATAACATTGCAAACTATAGAACAAAGTTCAGTATTTAAACTTTAAAGTAATTCATTAAGGTTGTTCTGGGACTTTGAGATGGAAAGGAAACAAAACAAACTCGTTACAAAATCAGGAAATTTTAAATGACTAAACCTCCTACCCCCTTCAGATAGATTCCAAAATCTTTTAAAATGGAGGAAATACAACTTGAGTCGAGGTCCACTACTTTCTGATCTAGTGGAGTTTCCTGTTTGAGCCAAATTACAAAATCCTAAAAGTAATGGATTTCACATTTCCTTTTCAGTCCAGCATTTTTGTTTCTATCACAATCCAAAATCAACCTGACAACATAATATTAAAGATCAACCCTGCACCAACAGCAAACATAAATAACAAATGATATTTGAAGCCAAGATTTGATGCAACAGCAAAATAAGAAACCTCTCCCTTAGGCTGTGTTTGGTTTGAAGGAAAAAGTAGGAAAAGGAAGGGAAAGGTTGGGAAGCCTTTACAAACCTTGTATAGGTTTTCTCATTTTTCCCTTCCTTTCCCCACCTTTTCCTTCAAACCAAACATAGTCTTAAGGAAATTCTTTTCATAGGAAGACCTGTTTTATGGTTTTGTCTTCAACAGGTTTTACATTACAGTGGTGGTTTCCACCCCCCCCCCCCCCCCGGGGTAAAATTATGCTGGAGGAAATATAGTGACTGAAAAAGTTGAAAAAGAAAATTCTCAGTATGGAAGTATGGAGAAATGTGGGCTTTGAAACTATTGGAACTACTATTTTGACTTGATAAGTGATGGTTCAGGAGATGCCAATCCTATTAATGAAAACTTTGAATTGTAAGAAAGGTGCCATTTCCTTTTAAATAAAATTTTACCTTTACAAATCAACTCAAACAAGTCAAATGATGTGACATTAGAATCAGACTTTGGTAGACGAGATATTTTATTGGTTGGAAAGTGAAAAAAAGAAATTTACCTTTGGGCCATGATAGTTACTGTATCTGCTAAACTCATTGTCCGGCTCTGACAGGCAGAAACACAGGAAGCAAGAAATGAAGTCCTCAGAGCTGCCCTTGTAAAGTCATAAGCACCATTGGCAATGATCTTCTTGATCAAACCTGTTATACCATGTAGCTCTTGTTGCGTGCTCAAGAACCAGATGGAATCCAAAGATATGCACAAGGCATCATTGAGAGTTTGAGGGTCTGCCAACAGAATCAGACTTTCTGCAATCTCCCAATCATGAGAGCTCACTGCACTCTGAAACATCCGGCCCAATTCAATCCTGTCTTGTCTACTAAGCTTCTTGTCATGCCCATTTTTCTCCTTGCACAGATCAAAATCTGCTGCAGACATCCTTGACTTGAGTTTCTTAGCACTGCAGCTACAACCACCAGATGTTCTCAAATCCTTACCCATCAGTGGTGCCTCCCTTGAGAAAACAACATTACTTCCTTTGTCTTTTTCGCATGAGAACAACTCGCCATCATCTCCGGGAGTTCCAACCCCATTATCATCGGTTTCCATTTCTGCACATTGGAGATCTTTAGGATTGGTTTCGTTTACCAAATGCAAAACCCCAGTACGTCCCACAGGAATGCTCTCTCCTTCCATTCTCCCCCACCAATGACTATTACCCCAAAATCAATATTTTAGAACCCAGCAAAGTAGCCCAACTGCTTAACTTCTGCAAATCGAACAAGGATACTTCTTCATGGGCCGGCAATTACACCATTCCCCTTGAACGAAAGGATAAAAAATTCCCTCCTTTTGATTCTCAATTATCTGTAGAACGAAATTCCTAATGCAGAGAAGAAAGTCCCAACCTTCGGCTAATCTACCGCCACTTAGACACGATTAGTGAACAAGGAAAGTAGCAGAAACCCAGATTCTTCTAGCACAAAAGAAGACCATAGATGAACTCGACGGTTCAAACTCAACTCCACAATATGGGGAAAAAGAGGAAGATTCAATCCTTATATGCGCAAAACTCAATTCCCCTCTCCCCTCTGATGATTCAGCTCTCTAAAACAACCAACCAGAACCCATAAGAAATAACAGTAATTCCCCTCTTTTACCAGTCCGAGAAACCCGACTCCACGATACCCAGCCACCGCCAAAAAACGTGAGAAACAAAAGATAAACCCCTACGCCGTCGGTTTCAATAGTTAAAGCCCTAAAACCTCACCATGATCAAATCCACAGAAATGCCCTGAAAAATCAGAGATCCAATACCACCCAAATCAAACTCAAGCAATTCCATTTAAGCAGATACAGAACTCATAAAAGACAACTGAAAAAAATAATAATAATAATAATAAAGAAGCAGATGCAGATTTTACTTCAAAGAAAGAAGCAAAACCAATAAAAAAGAGAAAATATGAAAAAAGATGCAGTAAATTGGCACAAAAAGAGAGAAAACAACAGACCTGGTTCAACGAGAAAGGGAGGAAAGGGCTAGCAGTCTGGACTCTGAAACCCAGAATTGAGGTTGAAAAGGGTATCTTTTTTTATATCAGGAGAGAGAGAGAGAGAGAGAGTATTGTATTGTATGATTGAAAATTTACAAAACAAAATAAAAATATATAGAGAGAGAAGGGTCGAAAATTTTAGAAATAAAGAAAATGAAAATGAGAGTCACCGGCAGACTACAATCCACCACAAAAAAATGCCTTCACCTTTAATGGGTCCCACCCTAAGTCTTGCGGACCCACCGCAATGATTATACACCATCTTCCCCTTGCTTTCTCTGCGACTCCTCCGTTTTCCCCTCAACTCAGTCCCATACTCCCACCGCCTGCGTTTCGTTTGGTTTTTCTGGGCTTCGACTGCAATTGAAAAACTGACGCATCAAAGGTTTGTCGGAAAAAATTGCAATCCACCGACCACCGTCATTCACTGAAAGTCTCTTAAATTCCAAACCCCCCCCCCNCCCCCCCCTTGAATTATAGGAGTGTATCATTTTGCTACCTCAAATTTTGTCCATTCCAAAGCCTTTTAGATTTCAACAACCTCTTGAATAGCATATAAAGGCAACTTTTTGCCTTTAATATCAATAAAAAATTATAATTTTATATATTAACTAAAATAAAATATCTTTTTTTGGAAAAATATTCGTCTTCCTCCTTTGCCTCTGTATTCATTCGAATGAATCACAAGATTCCGACAAGTAATACCCAAAAATGCTCTTCGTGTCCCATAAATTAAACCAGCGGCCGTGTCCAAGTGTCCATCTCCAAAGACTCACAGAACCTCCGGAGGTGCTGTGGCATCCTTATGAATCCATTGCTTGCCAGAGAACTGTGGATTCGTAGTCTGCAATGCTTGGCGGAGGATCATAAGATCCCAGTCATTCCTTATGAATCCATTGTCCTTTCATTCCTCTCTCTCTTTTCTTGTCCGCCCATGTTGGTGTGCAAAACGGGACACGAGCGAAGGGCTCATCCCCACCCAATGCCGTCACGACGTTCCGCCAAAGCCTCACCGGGTTTTTCCACGTGTACAGCCCAAGCCTCGCCGGCGTTCCGTCACGGCGTTCTCACGAGTGAAGGGCTCAATCTTTCTGAAACTACTTCCGAGTTCCGATACTAAACCTGGAAGACCCTTGATTGTCTTGCTCTGTGCAGACGAAGAGTTCGACTCCTCCTCCACGTCACAACGGAGACGCCCCACCGCTAGTTTGCTTTTGGGATGTGAAGAGCATTTTCGATTATTACTTGACCGTAATCTTACTATCCATTCGCAAGAATACAGACAAGAGGAGGAAGACAAGCAACAGCTGCCATTTCTTGATTTTTTTCTAAAAAAGCTATCATATTTTGATTAATATATAAAAATATTAATTTTTATTGATATGAAGGGCAAAAAGTTACCTTTATCTGCTAGAAGCCCTTATTTTAAAGTTACTTCAATTTGAAAAACCCCTTGAGCTGTGGAAATGTTTCACTTTATTATCAGAACTATGAAAAGTTTCAAATGTCCTTATAGATTTTACATCTCATTCATTTTTTAGATTTTGAGAGGGGGAATTTGGTTAATTAGGTTTTAGTTCTCATTGACCAAAATACCTATGTTCTTTTCTTAGATTTATGTAGGGCTTATGGACAGTTTATTTCCCCTATGTGTCACTTATCCACTTACCCATCTCCCATGCAAGAACTTTTCCACCTAGGGTTGTCAACACTTAGATGGGACAAAAGTGCCCCTTTTAATAATGGCTTTTTATGACTACATTTTCTTATTTGCCTAGGAAATAAAAGAACATAAGTAAAAGCACTTATCCAGGTAAGTACCCGGGTAAGTAACTTCCCAAAAAGCTAATGTGGCTTGCATGTTAAGCGAAGTTAACGATGAAAAATGATAATAAGCTTATCTTTCATGGTTACTTTGTGACTTAACAACTACTCTCTCTAGTGTGTGAACATGCTCTATAACTCTTGCTTGCATTCTACACAAACAAGAAAAATGGTAATAGGGAAACCTAAAATATTAGGCCCTGTTAGAACCTACTTTCCTGAGTAAATGCACTTATCCATGTTCTTTTTTGTTTAATTTATCCAGGTAATGTATCTTGTAGGGGCATTTTTTTTTACCATTTCAATTCTTTGTTTTACTCTCTACTTGAACTCGACTTACCCCTAGGAAAATCAATTTTGTCATGGGTCCCACGTGTTTCTAAAATAATAACATAGGTAAGTTGATTAATGGGAACCACAATCCCATTGACCAACTCCCCCCC